CGATGGAACCAAAAAAGGGGGGGAAACCCCGCAACATCACACGTGGCTCCAGAACCCCAAAACACACCACCACCGCCACCTCCCCCCAAGGAAACAGGAACAGGGGCGGTGGCGGCGGCAGTGGCGGCGGTGGCGGCTGTGGGAGGGGTATTCGATCATCAGACTATCACACGTTTCAAACCCCCACCCCAGCACGGGGGCCACATTTCCCCCCCTCCCCGGGGAAGTGGCGGGAAGAACATATCGTCATTCCAACCAATTTGCCCCATCCTGGAGGAGGTCCTTTACCACCGCGCTCCCCCACCCCCCATCCCACGTCTACACTCGCCGCTAAGGACCCTACCCCCACCCCCAAAACCCGCATACATGCACGCACATACATACGTACATACGGATACATAAATACACACACACATACATACATACGTACATACCTAGCTACCCATATACACACACTCCCTTCCCCGGTATCTCACTTGGCCTCCGCTAGCTCCGCCTGACTGGCCTCACTGCGGACCCGGACCTCCTCCGCCTGGGACCGCAACTGGGCGGCACGGTTTCGGAGCTGCTCGATCTGGGTCTGCAGCTGGGAGAGCTGCTCTCTGTCGGTCTGTACGTATGTCAGGGGTGGGGGTTGGGGGGTTACGAGGGGTGGGCGTGTATGAGCGCATGCGTGTGGTATGGTGGGTGGTGGATAAGTGGGGGGTTGGGCGGATGTGTTAGTGTATGTATGTATATCTGTGTGTATACGCGCGTGCCAATGAGTAGGGGTGTAGCGGGAAGCGGGTAACGCAGCGATCAGCCTGATTAAAAGCCGTACACCAAGACATCCTCTTCTTCACCATGACGCGAGGTAAACTCCACCACTACCGGCCTTTGGCAGCGCGCATCTCTTCAAACCCCCTCCTCCCCTCCCCTTCCCCCCTCTCCTCCTCCCCCTCTCCTCCTCCTCCTCCTCCTCCTCCGCCGCCTACTACTACTACTACTACTACTACTACTACTACTACTACTATTACGGGGTTTTGACCACCAACCCCCCCCCGACACATGACGCAATCATTATTTACCAGTGAATGCAGTTCTTAGTGTTACCCAGTGTTATCAGTGTTGACCCAGTAACCCCCCCACCCCCATGCCCCCACCCCCGCCCACTATACACCTAATCCCAGCAGTAGCAGTCGCAGTAACAGCAATGGTGAGACCCACCTCCTGCTCCGCCTCCAGGGTTTTCCGCTCACCGGCCTGACGGGTGGTCTCGGTCCCCACCTGGACCTGTGGGAGGGGAAGTTCGGTGGGTCGGTCGGGAGCAATAGCAACAGCAGTAGCAACATCAGTAGTAGCAGCAGTCGTCGTTCGGGAGCAGTAGCAACAGCAGTAGCAGCAGTCGTAGCAGCAGTCGTAGCAGCGCCGTAGCAACAGCGGTAGCAGCACTAGTAGTAGCAGTTGCAGCAGTAACAGCAACAGCAGTAACAGTCGTAGCAACAGCAGCAGTAGTAGCAGCAGCAACACATAAAGGAGTTCTAAGCAGCGCAATGAGGGGGCCCGTCGGACATGCATGGCCCGACTTCGCTCCCTCCCCCCCCTCCCTCCCTCGTCCCCTCGCCCCTATACCTTCAGCCTTGCGTACTCCTCCTGCATGGCCCGACTGTCCAATGCAGTGGTCTGGTTGTGTGCTGGGTAGTGCGCCTCCACCTCCTCTTGAAGCTCGGCCTCGCCTAAAGTGTGGCCGTGCGTGTGTGAGAGTGTGTGGGTATGTGCGGGTATATATTTTTAAAAACTACCGCCGCGGGCCGAAACCGGCGATGATGGCACATACACGGTAGGTTTACTGTAAGCATGTAGTTGTATGATGTGTGAAACAGGGGGGTATATCTTCACCCGTGGCAGCTACCCTGCGAAACCCTGCCTTCCCCGGTATTTCGGGGCACCCTCATCCAGTCACCCTAGTCAACTTCTCAGTGGATCGCTCAAGTTCAGCACCCACCACCGGCATCCAACGGAATCTGCCACATCAACGGCGGCTCAACTCCATTCCTGGTCGGCTCGCAGGTTAACTTTATCCCAGGTCACCACCGTTCATCAACTAGGGGCGCAATACCTTCCACCATCGGAAGGATTTTCGACCTTAATAGGTCTCAATCTCGGAATCTCCCGGGGGCAATGGTCGCGCGTTACCGCTAGTGCCTAACGTATGTATGTATGTATGTATGTATGTATGTATGTATGTATGTATGTATGTATGTATGTATGTATGTATGTATGTATGTATGTATGTATGTATGTATGTATGTATGTATGTATACATTCATGTATGTGCATGCGGATGGAGGTTGGAGGTCAGGGGAGATGGGGGTGGGGGGAGAAGCGGTCTAAGGCGCCTTAGGAGGGCCTAAGGACAGTTAGCCCGCTCCTTTGCTTGCGCCTTTCCTCGATATTTTTTGGTTGGCCATTAGCCGTGTATGATTGAACACCTGCCTGTCATTTCCCTTCCTATCCTTTTTCCTTTCCCTTCCCTTCCCTTGCCGTGGCCGCCGTTCCCCTTTCCTTTCCCTTTCCTGTCCCCTCTGTGTGACTCGCCTTGCTCAACCTGCTTCAGGTCCGCCTCCAGCTTCTTGATCTTGCGCTCCTGGTCCGCCACCTGCTTGTCCTTGTCAGTCAGGGCCTTCTGACCGATTCGGATGTTGCGAACCAGGCGGGACAGCTCCTCCTTGGCCTTCAGCAGGGCGGGGCTCTGAGAGGGCGGGAGGGCGCGGAGAGGGCGGGAGGGCGTGTGTGTGTAGGTGTGTGTGTGTAGGTGTGTGTATTTGAACTGAGCCGCGTACGTTAAGGTTGACTGAAGAAGTCACATGCGTATAGGAATGTGTGCGTGTGTGAGAGATACAACACCTGCCTTGCCCTTCCCTGCTTTGGTTTGGTTTGTTTTTCTACAGCTTCATATAATGTGTCCCTCACCCGCCGCCGACACAACGTGACATGCAGCACATGACGCATCGCACCTTCTTGTCCCGGTCCTGTTGCACCTTCTTCAGCTTCTTCTCCAACAGCGCAATCTCCTTCTTGAAACCGGCGGCAGCTCGACGGTTGGTTTCTACCTGTAGCAAGTACAGCAACACAGCCACAAAGCCACGTACTCACACGTCATGCCGTACAGGGTAAATAGAGCAGCCGCGGCCGTGCGATGCTGATCGGGCGGCATGTGAAAATGTCACGATGACGATGATGAGGATGATGACTGTGATGATTATGATTATGATAATAAAATAGTGATGATGACGATAACAAAAATTGTATTATGATGATGGTGGTGGTGATGAACGCGCGGGGGAAGGACATCGAACACACCACAGAGCGCCCAAAACACACTTGCATGCACACACGCACGTTGCACTACTGCACTACGTACCACTTGCAAGAGGGGAAAACCGCCCCTAAGCCCACCTACCGCGGGCGTATATATGTATACGACCGACATAACATATAACATATATACATATATATTATATACATTTAATATCAGGTATATACCTGTAATATCACCCAGTTTAGTTAGTCGGGTGTGTATGTGCGTGTG